TGTGTCAATGTCCAAATGTCTATGGACCTGGAGGTAACAAATCTAAATAATGATATTAAAAATATAAAAACATAGCTGTTTTCTTACAGCTCTTCATGTCAACTAACATCTTGTTGACGCTGCTCTTTTCTCTCAGTAAAGTTTTCACGGTGTTACGGCCCCAGAGCCTCTGTCTTCTCTCACTCTTGTCTTGCAGGTTTCTGGCTGGGCGGAGCCTCCAATCTGCTAACCTGGTGCACCTGGTCAATCTCACTGAGTATATAAGCCGGCCTGCTGTGCCAGATCGCTCTCTCTTCTCCCATACCCAGCCAACCATGCTCCTGCGTTTGTCTCTTTTTGTTTGTTTCATGCTGACAACATGCACCGCACATTGATCACTGCAGTCATACACCCTCGCACACCACTGACGCTCACAATCACACCTCATGATTCTACCTTGTTTTAATAAATAGCCTTATGTTACAGTTGAACCCACCTGTGTGTTTTCTCCTTTGTTGCGGCCTAAGAGCCAGTCGCAACAACGGCAATAACAGAAATGTTGGTACATGTTCCATCATATCTGCACGTGTCCATGTGTAGACTCTTCATGCACATCGTCTTCATTATATCTTTATTTTTTATCCTTGTTGCACTTTTTGTGCTTCTTGTCTTTCGTGTCTCGTCTGCATCCAGCTGCTGCAACATGTGAGGAAATTAACAACGTCGATCTGCTCAGTCAGTCGACAGCAGATTGAATTAAATACACAATTTTTGCAGATTTTGAGGATTTAGTTGTTTCTATAACAAGTGGAACATTTTGCTATTTAAAATGAATACGTGATATAATACGTATGGGACAAATTATGGTTTGAATGATCTGATAATGTGTATTATGGTCCTGACAGTCTCAATAAGTTTGAAATAACTCTCATTAATTTAAACTGCAATTTATTCAAAGACGTTTGCTTTTTCATTACGACTCTAAATTAATGTTATTTCACTTTGTTCAAAATGTTCGAGGACGCTGATAAATTAGGTTTTGTTGCCAGTAATGAATTCTAAGGTTTAAAAAATATACATAAAAATGTAGTATTTTGATATAAAGTGCTGATAATCAAGTTTTTTTTTAAAAAGATATGATTAGTTGGTAATATTACTCACCTGAAGAACAAGAAACTTCTATTATACAAACAAAACAAACAAAAATAAAGACAGCAGACATTTTTAAACCTTTCACACAGAAGTGCATCCATATCTTGTGTCTTTCAGGTAGAATCACTCTCATACTCATTTATTTCCACAGGAAACATGACGCATTTGACAGAAGTTAACATGTTGAACTTCTTGAACACATGTTGTGTGAATTTAGGAAGAAAGGACGGATGAGGACAGAAGTTATTTACATTTCAACAGTGCTTTAACATTAAAAA